CACCCCCAAGCTGGTGCTCAGTGGTGGCGATTCATGGTGTTTTAATAAGATTACATTCCTAGTCTATTATGGAAGCATCCACTCTTGGGTCAGGTATACCTCACCTTGTTCTACAACTGTGGCTTTGCCTCTGGGAAGCTGTTAGTGAAATCCTGTTCTTATCGAAAGCCTAAGAGAATCTGGTTCCCCAAGCCTTTTGCAAAGTCTTGATGGAATCCTTTTGTTATGCAGTGTCTCCACTTGGTAGATTTGATTCTGGGAAATGTGTTCCACTTACATTTTTGTCCCTGTTGGGTCCCCAAACATGTTGCAGAATTGAACAATTGGGCTTCCTTATCTCCTGGTGCTCGGAACAAGTGGTGAGTCTGAGCTGGCCTTCACATGCTGGCCTGGCTTGTGCACTTCTGTGCCCCTGATGCCTGTCCCAAGGCTTGTTGCTCCTTTGCCTTGGCAAGCCCTGCAGGCACTCTTGTCCCTGCAGCCAGAGGGGCGCACCTTGTGTAAAACAGCTCCTGGCTCAGCATTTTTTGGCCTAGGGATGGAGTTGGCTGCCATTTCTCAGGCTGGTCTCTTAAGGAGAAAGCAAGCTTTTCATGGTCGGTAGGGCATGCCAAGCAGCCCGGGAATTCACAAGGAAATCAGGAAATCAGGAGGAGCTTGCAGCCAGAACTTTGAAAATGGGTCTGAGGACTTTTGGAACGTTAAAAAAGGACACTTGAACTTTGCGCCACAGATACATACAGGGAAAAAGTGCCCTAGACACAGGAGAAATGTGAAGCCCCTTTGACATGTTTTGCAAGCCCCTTTCTGCTCTTAGACTCCAGAGTCATCTCAGACTTGGTAGATCCCAGTTAATACCTTGCACCCTTTTTTCCCCAAGGTCTGTCTGTATTTGTGTCATCCTGTGTCTGCAGCTAAAGCATGAGGCTTGTCATCTGGCTGGTATGTTTTGCTCGTTAATCAGGAGGCTCTCGCAAAAACAGTTCCAGCCCAGACTCGGGGCTGGGTCCTGCTGCTGGACTTGCAGATTGCCTTCCCTTCCCACAGACACCCGCTGCCTTTAAGCAGGGCTGGAGGGGTGTTCAGGGCAAGCCCTGAGATGTTAACCATTCTGGGGGAAGTCCAGCATGGAGGGTTAATTTCTCTGAAAAGGTTGTTGCCTTCAAAGTCTGGATGCCTACTTCTGGCCGGAATATTGGCTTCAAAGAGAAGACAGAGAGCGTCTGGGTCATTCTAGAACCTCAGGAAGCCCACTTGTGTTTTCATTAGGGAAGCTCTAGATATAGTGTCTTTTAAGCTAAAGAAGGAAAAGAAAACACCAAGAAAGAGTTTTTCTTTTTTTCCTCTTCTTTATTACTTTCAGGGCAGTGCCCCCTTGTGGCCACGTTTCTATACTTGATGCAGAAAGCTCCCATTCTTGACCCGGTGGCCAGAGCCCTTGGAGGTTGCTGTGCTCTTGGTAGGGAAAGCTGCTTCGATTTCAGTGACCCGAGAGGTGATGTGGATGGACATGTTACGTTTTTGACATTCACAGTCTGGAGGTGCAATGCTCCTGCTTTGATGGATGATGAATTGCCTGTGACTTTCTCTGATGAGAAAGTCCAGGAATGTTTGAAAATGATCTGAAGCTCTGCTCCGAATGTTTAGGGCAGTGTCAGCGCCAGAGAGCATGACCCGAATGGACCAGATGAGTTGTTTAGTTGGATGTCAGGCCTTGTAAAAACCTTCGAGCAGGAAGGGATGTTGGGGATCATCTCCTCCAGCCCATTTGTTTTACACATGGGGAAGCAGGCATGAGAAGGGGTAGGTTCCGTACTTTTGTTCTTTTTTGTTTAACTTCTAGAATGTGCCCAACTTGATGACCTGGAGACCCCCACAGAAAGCCCTTTCTACTTGGGCACCTCCCAACAGTAAGGCGGACCCCCTCTTCCCTTCACAAGGGTCCAGCTGCTGCCCTGTTATCCCGGAGACACTTCCTTGCCTTGTTCCGCCAGGGGGGCATCGCATGTGGATGGTGGCCGTAGGGGGCTGGTACCTGGGCCTGGATACGGCAGGTGGGCATAAAGGCCCACCCTTCACACCCTTGGGGCACCTCGATAGGACAGCCCTCTGACTAGTCAACAGATGGGCCTTTGACTCCGCTTGTTTTTAGTGGTACTGTTTGTTCCTGTCACTGTCCTCGGTTTCTTCTCCCCTCAGGGACGGGGACATGGATGAGGCTCTGGTTTGTGTTCTCTTTTTCTCTGCCATCCTCCTTGCCCTTCTGCTCATAGTGGAACAGCCTCACAGTTTCTTCACATCCTCTCCTGTGCCTTTTTCTTTCGTTTTCTTCTTCTTTTTTAATGTTTATTCATTTTTGAGGGTGGGGGGGGCAGAGAGAGAGGGAGACACAGAATCCGAAGCAGGCTCCAGGCTCTGAGCTGTCAGCACAGAGCCCGATACGGGGCTCAAACCCATGAACCGTGTGAGATCATGACCTGAGCTGAAGTTGGACGCTTAACCGACTGAGCCACCGAGGTGCCCCTTTAAAAAAATTTTTTTTTTTAAATCTTTTCCTTGTACCCTTTTCAAGATGCCCAGAAGGGACTCCCAAGGGGAAGCCAAGAAATGAAGCTGGTAGTTGGAAATGTTGGGGGGTTTTTGATTTTTGATTTTTGAACTTCTCCGATGTCTCGTTTGGAAATGCTGGCTGGCCCCCACCTCTCTGTTCCCTTTGTTTTCTGTGTCTCTCCTCCATTTCCTCACCCTCCTACCCTTTTCTGTCCTGTGCTTGAACCTGTACTGGGGGAGGTAGTGAAAAGTCACAGGATGTCACAAAGCATTTTGGTGTAAGATGTGGGCGGCCCGCTGTCTGTCTTTACTGTTCTGTCAGCTGCCTTTTTAATGCAGTCCTTCCTGGTACCTCATGTCACTTCTTGCTCCCAGCAGCCCGGGACGGAGGCATGGGGACACCGAGGCCTGGGGAGTAGAAGGAAGAGGCTCCCACAGCCCGTTCAGCTTTTCTGTGCCCGGTCCTGAGGCCCCTTCACCGGGGGACATGGCTTCCGTGTTAAGTCTCTTCTGTGCCCAGGTTAGACCGGGGCTTCCTGGAGGCTCCAAAAGCAGAAGAATGTCTGTGAGGTTCTCTTCCTTGAGAACCTTAGAGGCCAGCACGGCCCACTGGGCCCACAGGAAACGTGTTTATGGAGCAGTCTCAGGCCACGTTATCATCGCAGACCGTCCCACCAGGGAACCTTTATTCAGTTCCCTCAGAGGGAATGGGGCCTGGGGTCCACTGAGGCTCAGGTTGACTGAGCACCTTCTGGGGGTGGGGCAGCAGGTTGGGGAGCAGCAGGGCAGAGCCCCTGTCCTCGTGGAGCTGGGAGTGTGGTGTTGACAGCAGCCTGGGCTAGGGAAGCGTGCCAGGGAGGGCGTGAGGGTGCCATCAGGCCTTCCCCTCCCCTCCTCGTCCTACATTCCTTCCTTGAAAAGGGGGCATCTCGAAGGTCCCTTTCTGCTGGGATGGCTGAGAATTCTGGGCTGGAGTTCTTTCAGGAGATTCTTAGGGGGAAGAAGGAGCATCTTTTCCAGGATTAAGTGATGCTGGTCTGCGGGTAGGTGTTGCTCTCTTTGTCTCAATGTCTGGATGTGCACCATTTTGGGGGTGTGGGGGTGGGAGGAGGTACTGACCAGGTTCCTTTGCACCAGTGCCCTGAGACCGTCCATAACTCAGCCTTGCAAAGAAACGCTTCCTTCCCGCCTCCAAGGGAGAGAACTGGACTTACCGGTGGCAGAAGACGTCCATCTGGACAGTGTTGGTCCCCAGCCTGCTCCACAACAGACCATCCGTGTGACCCTGGGCCCTCTGTGCCTCAGTTTCCCCACCTGCAAAGTGAGGGTGTTAGCACTGCATAGCGCAGGGTGCTTGTGTACGTGAAAGGAGTCAGGACTCCGGGCATGTGAAGTGCCTGCAAACTGTAGATGGTGCCTGCTGCTTGTTTTTAGAGCTGTCCCTGGGGAGTAGGGGAGTGGGCTTCCGCCCAGGGATGCCCCTCTGTTCCAAGATCTTTGGCACGTGTGGGTCTAGCATTCTTGGCCTGGGCCATTTGCGAGGGACTCTGAAACCCATGATGGGTGCTGCCCGATCACCCTGCTGGGTGTGGGCTTTGTGGGGCCATCAGAAGCAGCCAAGGCGGTGCCCATCCGGTGGGGTGTTCTCCTTTAACAGGGGCTCCCCCCCACCGGGAGGCAGGGGTGCCGTCCTCCCCTCATTTACGGATGAGGAACCTGAGAAAATCATACACTAATGCAAGATGGCACTTCCATTTT